AATGCCAATAGGGAGAGGGGGGAGTCGGTGGTCAGAAAAAAAAATTAAGTGTGCAATATACTGCTTCGTGTATGCGGAATATCGGCTTCGCGTTGAAGTAGTTTTGGTTTTGCGCTTAACACAAGTACTCAACTCAGCTGTACCTGCTCGCGTGCTCCACGCGCTACATATCATTCTTCTGTGATATTGCACCTGACAACCTGGCAGCAGAGTACACTGTGACAAGTATGTTGCTGAATATACTCGCTTTTTTTTCTCCTTGAAATATTACAAGATCTTGAGGACGCCTTCAGAGGACTGTTTTCTGTATTTCTTCGGTTAGTTCGAATACATCATCAAGGCATTGTAATAAAGGTTGCAGCGCAAGCACGAAATTGCTAGAAGAAAAGTGAACGGAAGGCGAGGAACGGAAGGCACAGATGACAACACAAGTTCTCATTACCAACTGACTTATTTTTCGCAGCACACATATTAATATACAAACAGGCAAAATCTTTTAACAGCAAACGTGAGCAATGTGACATAGTGCTGGGGGAGAGAGTCCGATAAAAACGAAGGCACAATGATAAAATGGCTAGCCCCTATCTAAAAGCGCGATTTCTCTTTTCATGCAAAGCCGCGGAAGGCTGGCTCACGCATTCGTCACCAAATTTTCTAATATGGTATGCCTCAGCAATTTCGCGTGTTAATTTGTCCATATGCGATCCAGTACAGTCATGGTCTGAAATCGAGGCTGGCACCCGCAACTTTTACAGTGCATAACAAGGTTGGAACTTAACCCTTTGCATAAATTGTTCATATGCTCTCCCAACCTTTTATTTATGCAACGTCCAGTTTGGCCTATATATTGATTTGCCTTGCTTGTCTTGTTGTTTTTTCCTTACTACCCTCACCCCTTCCCCCAGTGCAGGGTAGCAAACCGGACGTGCGTCTGGTTGACCTCCGTGCATTCATTTCTTCCCTTCCTCCTCCTCCTACTTACTATAAAGACGAGACCAAATCTCCTTTCATGAACGCTCTCCCGTGGTTGAAAAAAATAAAGCGCTATGCATAGTTGCTGTTTTCTGAGGCAGCAACAATCGCCATAAATTATAAGCGCATCGTAGAGTTACGTAGAGGTTGCGGCGTAGGGAAGCGCCGATTTTGAACATGCCCACCGTCTTTCAAACATACACGCATGTGCGTACGTGAAAGAGAGAGAAAGAGAGACAAAGAGGAAAAGAAGAGGTAGAAAGAGACTCTGCATGGTGGGGTTTATTGCGTAACCCAGTATACTTCTTTCGTAGACCCATGCGCTCAGATTAAAGTGGGTGCACGTTAAAGAACCCCAGGTGGTCGAAATTTCCGGAGCCCTCCACTATACGGCGTCTCTAATAATCATATGGTGGTTTTGTGACGTTAAACCCTACATATCAAGAATCAAATCAGTATACTTGTTAGAACGTATAGGAAAGTCCAGCTATAGGTGGTAAGGATTCTTGATGAAAGAAACTAAGTGTGCAGACATAGACACAAGAGAAGAATTTCAAGAGGGCACAAATGCCGGACATCAAATGAAAAGTCGCACTACTATAAAAGAAAAACACTAACACTTGTCTGTGCACGAGCAAGTATAGAGAGCGTGAATGAAATGCGTGACACGTTAACTGGAATTCCTTACTATAAGTTACCTGTTGCATAGACCTACAAGTGTGTCGATTTAACAGGTGACTTTTCATGCATTTGCCCCGCCGCGGTGGTCTAGTGGCTAAGGTACTCGGCTGCTGACCCGCAGGTCGCGGGAACGAATCCCGGCGGCGACGGCTGCATTTCCGATGGAGGCGGAAATGTTGTAGGCCCGTGTGTTCAGATTTGGGTGCACGTTAAAGAACCCCAGGTGGTCGAAATTTGCGGAGCCCTCCACTACGGCGTCTCTAATAATCATATAGTGGTGTCGGGACGTTAAACCCCACATATCAATCAATCAATCAATTTTCATACATTTGCAAGCGGAAACAAAGTTCTGGCTCTTTATTTTCTTTTCAGTTGCATACAGTACGTCATCTCAGTTGACGCCTCTACTTTTTTAAATCTAAATGTGTCATTTGTTTTAGGGAGCATTCGATTCGGTTCTGATTTACATAATACGGCATATGGCTGACGTGTACAAATATCGACCAGTTTCCTGGTGCCCGTTGTTTCGTCGTGGTGAGACTGCTTTCAAGCGCCGCAGCCGTTTAGATAATGAAGCATGCGTAGAATCAGTGCACGATTTGCTGATCGCGTTTGTGTGTCTGTTTCTTGGATGACAAAGTATAGCGACTGCGAGCCGAACAAATGACGCGGACCAGCGGCTCTGAAGTCGCTACGCCGCGGGAAAGGCATAATTAGCGTGCATTCCATGGAACGTGGCCACCGTCTTCATCGCTGTAATTTTAGTTTCATGTGTGTCTCGCGTTAGTATTTTTTGTTTGGTTTACTTTCCAGCCAGTATTGCGCTCCATTTGGCAACAATGGATGTTCCAAAAGTAATGATAAAACTACGGATGCGTTGTGGTGGATTCAATGCTTATCGCTCTCGCCGCTCCGCATTGAATCAACCTATGTGTTGATGAGGAAAAGTGCCTTTATAGTTGTTGGGGTAGAAATGGCTGAATTTTGCTCTCCGTTCAGGCGAAAGCAATTGCGTGGAGCGCGAGAGGGATTAGCTTATGCCATCCCCAAATAAGGCTTTCTCGGGCAATATGGGGGGGGGGGGGGGGGGAAGAAAGAAAGACAGAAAAGTTTAGCTGCTCAGGCCATGCGCTAGGAAGACGGGTTTAAGCGTGCACATTTCGCTGCGTTGTAATCTTTGCGTCGTTCTTTGAGCCTGACCGCTCTTCTTCTGCATGCTCCTCAACGGCATGCTTTGGCGATCGGTGTCTGTCGGGGTGCGCGTTTTCAGGGCGTACGGTTAATTAGGCGCCTAATGGCTCGAAAGGGAACGCATCATATGTGAATCGCATAGGCTTTCGGTGGTTGTCTGTCTCAACAGAGAGCAGTTTCGCCCCGATTATCTCCGCCTATCCGTTAAACATTTGTGTGGCCGTTTCGTCTCCTTAATAGCCGGTGATGGGAATTGTTGCTGTACACTTGTTAGGCGTATAATTAATACGAGATGTCCCCGCGCCTTTCGAGGTTTACGCTGCTTATCTGTTTTCAGAGTCCGCGTATACGTCTTCGATGGGAACGCGTTTTAAGGCGGGATTGTGCGATGCCGGTGCAGTATTGCGGGCTTAACTGAGCGTGAGATTTACCGCGTACGAAGTATGGGCGTCCAGGAAAATTTCGGCGCCTTAATGCGTTATGCCCCAGGTAACGGCGTACTATAGAGATACCGCGTGACCTTCATATCGTGTTAACTCTTTCGGCTTATATATGACACCGTTCCGCGAATGAAGCTGTCGTAAAAGTCCAATGTCGTTCTTTGCTTTCCACATACGGAAGCCGATTCTCGCTGATGCACTATGTTCTCACGCCTCAATTAATTACGTTTCGCGCCTTAAATCGTAACGTGGGTTGAGTTGTTGAACCGCTTGCCACTTTTCTCGCGCAGATGAGAAAGATGCGTCGCGTCAAAATCGATATTCAAACAAACGCTTCGCACGTTATCCCAGTACACAAACCTTGTCTGCTGTTCTTTGCACGTGCGTCTGAGAAAATTACCTCGGCTTCAATACCCCTCTGCCTTGTTGACCCCCTTGCTTTCACGCATTCTCTGTTTCTTTCTATACATGTTATATAGCAAAAACAAATGAATAAATAACTCATGATGCTATCATAAACAATCAGAACGAAGTGAAAGCAGTGAGGATGACACGGCAATTGCAAGTTCACTGAAGCCTTCTCTGCGCCAAGTTTTGTCGTGAAGTGGCTGTGACACTTTCGACATTTTAATATACATCCAGTGTCGATACGAATGGCATTACCTTGACGTTTCTCTTATTGTTGCTGCCAAGAATACACATCGTTGCGTTTGCTTTCATTCGCTTCGTAACCGCTTGCTTAGTGGTTTAATTCTGGACTTTAAAGCTGCGCAGTTATAAGGCCCTCCCGCGGTAACACAGCGTGCCGTAAACATGAGATGCTTTGGCTTAGTATATATATATATATATATATATATATATATATATATATATATATATATATATATATATATATATATATATATATATATATATATATATTTTCACGTTTTAAGAAAAGCGACTTGTAATTGTGTGATTCCACATTTTTCAAAGCTCACGTGTGGGACAGACAACTGGTGACCAGTCAAGGCGTGACACGTACGCGTCGCAGCGCGTCAGCGGGTGGCTTGTAGATCCGGCGCAGTGCCCTCTTCCTATAGAGAAAGGGTACAGCGCCTAGTCTACGCGCCGCCGCGCGCTCATACGCGTACGTGTGGTCAGATCTTTAGAGCGATGGAATAAATACTAAATGATAGGAAACTCTGCCGAGGGCGATTGATTGATTTGTGGGGTTTAACGTCCCAAAACCACCATATGATTATGAGAGACGCCGTAGTGGACGGCTCCGAAAATTTTGACCACCTGGGGTTCTTTAACGTGCACCCAAATCTGAGCACACGGGCCTACGACATTTCCGCCTCCATCGGAAATGCAGCCGCCGCAGCCGGGATTTGAACCCGCGACCTGCGGGTCAGCAGCCGAGTATACTTAGCCACTAGACCACCGCGGCGGGGCGAAAAAATAATTACTCTGCCGAGGGCGGCGATGGGTCAGAGGGAGGGACGAAATTAAGAACTTCGCGGGGATGAAATGTACTCAGCTCCCACTGGACAGGGTAAATTGGAGATCATTGGGAGGGTGCTTTGCCCTGCGCAAGACATAAAGTAGGCTGGTAATTATGAATAACGATAGAGCGAACACCTTTCATCTACTGAAATTAATATGACTACCAACCGCAGACTCTCCCAGCCGTTTCTTACACTCTTTGTTCTTTCCTTTTTTGTCTTTTCGCAGGACAGCAGCGAAGTGAATGCTCCCCCCATTTCTCCCCATCTAGGTCGGGTGAGTATGAAGACGTGTATGCGTTCTCTCGAGTGAATTCGTAATGCGCTGGACGAAACAAGATATCTCGCAGCGGTGCATGGCAAGCCTAAGACCACGCATGTGTGAAATAGAATATAAGAAAAGAAATAATGTAAAGAAATGGGGCTTACATCCTTCAATTTTTTTTTCCTTCTCTGCTGGTGCCCGCGGGTTTTTCAGCGCGATCGAACCGCGAAACTGTGCGCCGTGGAACTGTCGCTCTGCTGTGTGTGTTAGTGTCGGCGGCGCTCAGTTGCAGCTGAATAATTGAACACGTTTCGCGCCTCAAGAGAGAAAGTCTCCTGGTTTCAGTCTGCAGCCGCGCTATACCGCTGCCACCGCCTCGCTTGGGAGTGGGCTTAGATGGCGCTCTCGTTTATATATACATTCAAAACGGAGTTGTAAAAGATTCCGATGCGTGCGCGATATTGCTCTGCGCCACGTAGTATACGGACTTTGAAAGGAGCTCGGGGATCTTTAACAATCCCCGGCGCGTTTCTGGTCGCAGGAGTTTGCGATGTGCGCTTGACTGTGCGTTTGTTTTTAAGCCACGTTAAGGTTTGCTGCGTTTGTTCTCTTTCTTTTACTTGTTAACGTGGTCGCGAGCACATTGTGCTTGCTCACTTTCTCCTGCAGAGCGTTTCCTTCCCTTTTCTTTCTTTCTCTCTCTTTCTCTCTCTTTATATGCTGTTCTTAGATACCTTGCGGTGTAACTGCAAGTACCTACGGAAGCGAAAGAGAGCATTTCTTGAGCCTCTCGGCAAGAGGCGTTGTGCTCCCGTGATCTCTGAGGCGCGCCGGGGTCGGATCTGTGTACACACTCACCCGCTGAGCCCGAAAGGGACAACCTCAACTCGCCGCCCGCGGTTCGCAGAAAGCAACGCGCGGCCCAGACGCGCGGCTTAAACGAAGATTTATGGACCGCGAGCTGCTGCTTCGCGATTCCTCGCGCGAAACAGAGTATATGTACGCCTGTATACACACGCCATGCGTGTGTTCTCGACGGGTGTTGAACTGTGTTGCGCTCACCCCCGGCACCATCCCCGGCAGTGTTTTTTTTTTATCGAGCTTGTCGCTCATAGGTGCGCTGAAGCGCGGCCGACGCGTATAGGCTGATCTGTGTTTACTGTGTATATCCTTTCTGGCTGCGTGTTTTGAGAATTTGTGTGGCGCGGCAGATGAATCTTGTTCGCTTCTCGCTACGCGATTCTCTTTGATGTACGAACAACACGCAGAACGGGATGCTAGTATTTCCGGCATTCACGCTTCCCCGTGCTGCCGACGTTTATCTCTCGCTAGTTTCTTTTTTTTCTTTTTGCCTGTCTTTTTCTCGTGTTGTGTGAATTTATTACCAGCGTCGTGGAGAGAAGTGTTAATCATTAAGGGTCATGATGTTGGTATGAATGTATGCGCTGCATGGTAAAGACGTGTGTCAGGAGGTGTGTGGCTCGTGAAAAGGATAAAGTGTGTTTGAACAAACGAACTCGAAAGAGCACCGCTACGCCAGCTCGTTTTTGGGGTGAATGTGCAGGGTTTGGTGACACTTGTTATTTGTCACCTTTGCTGGGTGCTATACGCGTGCAAAAACATGGGCCACTCATTACCCCGCGTTTAAAGACGGGGGGGGGGGGGGTGATTTTATCCTCTCCTTAATACACACGCTGCATCCTCCTCGTTCCTTAGTTCGTGAATGCCAGTGAACAATGTCAGAACTAAGCACTAGAGACTATCAGAATTTCGCGCTTCTCGGCTGCACGCTGTTATCGCCAATTCTAAACACACACAAAAAATGAAGTTTGATCGATTGATTGTGCACGATATCCATGTGAGACAAAGAAGAACAGATGGGCGGCTGCATGGCAAAGCAGTGCAGGAAACAAATCACATGTAATATTTCGCGTATATCAACGAATCGAGAGAATGTACGCTGTAGACGTCACGGAAACTACTGTCTACGTAACAGTACTGTGCCAAGAAGGACGAGAAATATCAGGAAAAAAATATTGCGCTCTTTTCTGTATTTTGGGAGCTTGGTGAGTGGCCCTTCAATGCTTTAACCCATTTGAATGACCCCCGAGAAGCCCGTGTCAGCGTTGTCCTTACGGAAGAGAAGTTATTGCGAACCTTTACGAATAATGGTAAACGATAGGAAATTAAAGTATCGAAAGCTCACTTTGATCACACGCGCGATAGTTTGTTTTTTGTTTACTTTTTTTGTATGTGTGAGTACGTCGCTGTCATTTCTTAGTATTATTTTATTCGCTTGCACGCTGCAAAGAGAGAAAAAGATGGCAATGGTGTGTAAGTATGCGGCTTGCTTCACACGGAGAATTTCTCGGCAGTACGTGAGTTTACCGTTAAATTTATATCAGAGTGTCACCAACCTGTTTTTTTTTTCTATCTTGCCCCGTTAATTTCTGGTTGTAGGTAGTAATTTTTTTTTCGTGCGGTGTACACGAGCGAATGAAACTTCATTCAATTAATCTTACTCGTAGGGTTAAACTCGGGGAATTATTTGTTTACTGTAGTCAGTGGCTCATGATTCCCACTCACTCTTTATCTTTGGTTTTTTGTTATGTTGTTGGAATCGATTCTCCTTGATCATCATTAACTTTCTTAATGTGTGTAGCACTTCACCGTCTCCGATATGGCATATTTTTTTTCGTATTAGAGATTAACTTCTCTAACGCATACTTAGTTGAAATAAAGCGAGAAAAGCGCCGTGCGATGTGTCCCTTTAGTTCGTGTTTGCCATTCATGCATCATAGGTATGCCTTGCGCTATAACTGTGTAGGATACGTCAGAAAAAGATGCATGGTTTTTGTGAATTCCTAATGGAAGCCACAGTGAACACTGAATGATTGTGCAGGTATGTGATCGAGCTTACTGGAATGGAATGCGTTCTTTTAGGAAATACTCAATGTAATCGCAGTGATTTATCAAGCTGGAACTATAAGGTCACCTGAAGGCAGGTAGGCCTGACAGGTAGCCAAATAGAGAAGTTTGGCAGCTAGCGTCTCTGGGAGCAAGTCTTTATTAAAAAGCTGCACCATCACTAATTGTGTATTTTCATGAGAAGCCCTGAACAAGACCCGACTCGATTAGGAAGGTCTGCGCCTAGACATGGTCGTCAGTACTGCTTATAAAAAGACGAAGATGTGGTGAGACACAAAATGAATGTGATAATTACTACCTTACTACCTTGTCTGCGTAACACTGCGTAACTCGCTTTGTAATTCGCTGCGTTACTGCGCATGGCCTCGGGTACGCCTTCATAATCGAGAACGTTTACATCGACGACAGGCACGCAAATTACATCGACGACAGACACACACGGCGAGAGCCGCGCGCAAATTGCACGTTACAACAAGCAAAGATGCTTTAAAGATTTGCAGTCCCTGAGCAACAAGTGGCTGCCTCCACTAGAGAGGAAATTAGAGAAATCGGGTAAGATACGACTCTTAAGAGATAGGCAGGGAAATTAATCATATCGCATTATGCGGTTAGCTACCCTGCACCGGCGGAAGTGAGGAGGAAGGATAGAGGATAAATGAAAAAAAAAAACACGAAACGGTGCTCTATAGAATTCCGGCGCAAAAGTTAATTTCACTGGCTGCGCCTAATCGTATCGACCTTCCTATTCCGGGCAACAGAATTTCCTCGCCTCCGCACAAGTTTGCCGGGAATACTGTTGCATGATTGATCATCCGCCTCCACGCGCCGGCAGCGTTTCTAATCTCTGTCACTGGCGCGTGCGCGTCGGCACTGACAAGCTCTGAAGCTTCACAGGTTTCGTGCTTTGTTTCTCTCTCTCCCTTTTCCCCTCTCTCTCTCTCTGTTAGTATTCTACAAAGAGTGGAGAGGAAAGGGGCCCGATTCTTTGGCGCCCCCGCGCAATATGCTAATGCAGATTCTCGGCGCGTAAAGTTCGCCAGGTCCCGAAAATAGGCCCCGCGTTGGCCTCTTAATGAACGCCGTGCCTTCCCATTTTAACGTAATTAGGCCTACGGCCTATGGTTGCTGCGGCCTCGGCCCTTCTCCCACGGTGTACACGTACCTTCAATCGTCTTCCGACAGAGCTCGCCGCTTAACCTGACGAATGGAAGTGCGTGGTGCTCTCTTCCAGATTGGCGCTCCTTTTCTCGCGTCCAAAGACAAGCGCTGCTGCGCCTGGTTGAGTTTGTAGAGGCTAATGAGATGACATTTCCTTGCGCTCGGGAGAACGAGAACGAGAGAAAGTCTGCAGTCTGTATTAGTTGTTTTCGATTAGAATAGGTAGTAAAGATTCCTCTCTACGCGTTCGTAATTTATGAAAATGTTACTTTTTTGTCTGGCATTTTTTTTTCTCGCGATTGGTTACTTGCCCGAAGTTCAAAACAACAAATTATAGCCTAAACAATTACATTGTATATAATAAGGCGTGAGCTTTTGGATGCCTCGTCAAACGCTGAAAACTGACCGACGTCCCGCTTCGACGTCCGGCCGTCGGTCGGCGAGGTCAATACGAGTGATGCGAAAGATTGCCATCACACGAAGAAGTCGCCATCGCTGACGTCATAGACGCCAAAATTTATGATGTCAAGCTATGACGTCATCACACGTCAGCATTGCTTGCTCAAATGTGAACTGATACCGGAGGCTGTGCAGGAAAAAAAAAAGTGTGAAGCCTGCACCAAGCTTCGCAAGACCTTGAAACAGCGAAACTGGGCGATTATCATGGTTAGTTTGGTTACTTCTACAAGTTATTTTTAGGCCTTGATTACGTGATGCAACAGGTGCTAGGTTGCTTCTAGGTCGCTTTCAGCTTGGTGAACTTATAGGTTGTGCCTACGTCGATTCTCAGCGCAGAGAGCTTCGAGTCAACTCAGTCACAGACACTATACTTGGTTGTGAAAACTCCAGAAATTGAAACTCGCGCTGAAACCAAGCATTCGAACCGCTTGCAGATCAACGGGCGTGTCGTCTTTATCGCAGGCTTT